ATACTTATCTTCATTAAATATATTATTTCTAAAGATACTCGATATACAATATTCACAAAAAAATGAATTATGTAATTGCCAATCCTGAAAAATCATCCCAAATTTTTGAGGAAAAAGATGTTGATATAACTGATGTTAAGTTTAACAATCCTGACAAAGAGTACAAAATTCTGGATGATGGAGAGTACAGCAATACAGATACTTTTTCTAACTGCCCAGAAACTCCTACCACTAATACAACTGAAAATAATGATAATCACGAAACACATGACTTTTGCCTTAACGAATTTGCAATGAATTATGCAAAGGAATATGCAACTTCAATGGTTACTGATTTTGAAAAAGAAGAAGTACATGTGGATTGGTTTAGATCTGACATTAATATACAATCAGAGGTAGAATCAATTTGAACCTCATCAGCAGATGATAATAAAAACACTAATTATGAGTTAAATGGTAATGGTAGAAATATGAAAAATCAATGTATAATCATTGACATTGTTGATAGTATAATATAGTGATATACAAATAATACATATCGTTCAATCAAACAATTAATAGGAGTATAGGAATTAGATTATAATACAGTAGAAACATGTGTCAATGCGAATGGGCAAGGGTCTTTACATTTACTTGAAGTGTGCTCATCTCATTTTAATTAAGATCAGGATGACGCTCATAAACGCGACTTAAAAGGTACTGTTTCTATTAATAAGAGCTGGATACACCTACATCAGTATCTTTTTTATGGCAATAATAAGTATTTTGTTAATAAAGGTGGTTGTAAACATCATTCCAAAAAGGTTATAGGACATAATGTGCAAGTTTTATGCTCTGGCTTAAAAGAATGTCTAGTATTTATAAAAAATAAACTTTGTCAAATTTCAAACTGTATAACCCGATCTCAATACATTTGTTTATCTTGTTTTGAAATTGAAGGATGTCATTTTTTCTAGCGAAAAGGCAGAAAAGCAAAATCTTTTACTTGTAATGAGTATCATAAAAATGATATTTCTAAATCACTAGATCTCATTAGTAAATGAGTGCAAAATATAGCAACCAATTCAGACCAATTAACTAAAGATATTTTACATAAGGAACTTTTAAAAACCATTGTTAATTTTTTTGAAAGAAAGGCAGAAGTTTCAAAGGAATGTAAACTTGATGAATCTCAGGTATCGCTACAAAAAAGACAAGTTCCTAGTTATATGGTAATAAAGATGGCTTTATGATTAAAAAAAGTAAACATTAAAAAATTATGTGATGTAGAACAATATCATAATTTAATTATAAAACATCCTAATGAGTTTGGAGAAACGCTTGGATTAGTAATCTGAAGATCTCGTTCTAAAATAAAGGAAAAAAAAAAGAAACTTAAATCACCATTAACATTTGATGAATATCGGAGTGGTTTTTCAAATGTAATGCATAAAATCTTTGAAGGATTCTTAATGCTTATCCAATATAACAAGTGGAAAGTTATAAAAAAAAAAACAAAAGTAATAAAAACAAGAATATAAAGAATTTGATAACACACGAGCAGTTAAGATTTCAGCTTTTATAATTTCCGTTATACTTACAGTAACATTTCCTGAAATTAATATTTGGTTGACACATGTTATGAGTAGTTTATTCCAAAAGCCACAGTTACATTCAACTCTATATGCTATACAGTCAACTCTTTTTACAACGAATTTTGATATAACGAATTTTACAATACAACGGATTTTCATTGTCAGACA